TCCCACGCTGTCCCTGTTCAGAGCTGTCCTCTGCCCCGGCCCTGAGAACGGGCATCATCTGCTGCCTCTCTGAGGAGTGGAAAGCAGAGACAGAAAACGTGAGTTTCAGAAAACACTCAGACTGTCTTGTCAGTTTTTGTTTTTAACCCTTGGGAGCATTTGCTGTAATGTTAGCTTTAGCTTAATGACGATAATAGTAAAATCGAAAACTAGTGTGCTTGGAACTTTCTTGGCATAACAGAACCCACAGTAAAAATACCACCATTCATCTCCTGGCTGTTCCACTGTGCTTGTTAATATCAGAGTTTTCATTCTGATGGTTTTGAAGTTGTTTAATGTTTGTCTACCACAGCGCCGAGTTAAAGCCAACGTACGTCAGAACCTACTGAGTGGTTCGGGTAAACATCTCTGGCACCCCTGAAATGACCCCTGCTTGTGAAATGACCCAGTGGGTTGCCATCTGTGGTGTCGATGCTTTATAAGTCAACTGTTGAGTGATACGAACTTTTAAGGGCTGATTGCGCAGACACGTCGTGGTTTGCAGAATGCCTAACTTGGCATTTTATCTGTATGCTAATTGGTATTTCAGTAACTTTTCTTCATCATTACTGCTCTGCACTTATTAGGTATTAGGGGAACTGTAGTCTAAGAGGCAAGTAACGCCGTGATTTCAATAAAAATTATTTTCTGAAGTTTGATGAGACACCTCTTTCTTTATTCCCCTCAAGTTAATGTTAACTGTGTGGTTTTGGGGAATTCCAGGCTTTCTTTTGCAATTGCTGATTGTATCAGTCAAGGTTCACTTGTGGAGAACAGAATCGCTCTAGCTGGTTTAAGCAGAGGCAGATTTATTACAGGGTATTAAATGGCTTTCAGAATTTGTTGGGAAGGTGAAGAAACAGTCTTGAGGTTGCATTCTCAGCAGTGACTTCCAGAGCCTCCCAGCAGAGCAGGCCACCAAGGGAGCAGCGGCCCCGTGTGCAGTTACAACACTGCCTGCCCGCCCGCCCGCCGGGGAGGGTGTCAGCACCGCTGGGCCTCTGACAGGGGAGGGCAGGACGTTGCTTCAGGGAAGCCAGACGCTTCCAACGTGCTCGCCGGCAAAAACAGTAGCTGAGTGCGGTCCCCAACGTCCAAATCTTTGCCTTCGACATGTCACCCAGCTTCCTTCCCTTGGTTCATGGCACCCGGGCCAGATAGCTGCAAGGGAGCCCGGGAAATGTAGTTTTAGTTTTAGCAGCGGTCTCTGCAGTGCAGGAAGATGGAGAAGGCGAGTGGGCCCCAGCTTGAAGCTGCGGGATCATGGTCAGGAGTGCCTTTCACAGGGACTCGATCCATCTGCTACGCTTACTTCCTTGCGTCTCCTCTTGCCCGTTCTGCTTGCCCCTGCATGTTTGCACGTGCACACACACGCACACACACACAAAGTGGACTTTAGCCATATCTGAGGTGAAGAGTCACTGAGGTAGAGTTCCAGTGTACGCCTGTGCTTGTCTTGGCTTTCAGACTTCTGAGGTGTGGGAGGGTGACTGGTGTCGTTGGTGGCGTAGCAGCTGAGGCCGGACTGGGCCTCTCTCTCCTAGTGGTTCACAGCCCCCCACTCGCTATGATCTTTTTGTCTTTAATTGGTTTATTTATTTGAAAGAGCTACAGAGAGAGATCTTCCATCTGCTGGTTCACTTCCCAGATGGCTACAGTGCGCACTGCTGGGCCACGCCAAAAGCTTGGGTTTCCCATGTGGGTGCAGAGGCCTAACACCTGGGCCATCCTCTGCTGCTTTTCCCAGGCCACTGGCAGAGAGTGGGATCAGAAATGGAGCAGCTGACTCTAACCGGCCTTCATATGGGATGCCAGCGTCACAGGCGGCGACTTTACCTGCTGAGCCACAGTGCTGGCCCCTTATGTTCTTAAAGCCATAAGCACATCTGTTCCAGACACCTTGGGTACCACTTGGGAAAACCCCACAGGTGACTTAAATATGCAGCTGGGCCTGAGGCCCTGAGTCAGTCAGTGTGGTAGAATCGAACGTGGTCCAAAGCTGTGGCTCAGTTTTAAAAACATTTTATTTATTTATCTATTTATTTATTTTCATTGCATTTGAAAGGCAAAGAGAAAAAGAGAGAGGCCAACAGAGATCTTCCATTCCCTGGTTCACTTCTCAAATGTGCACAAGAGTCAGGGCTGGTCCAGGTAAAAGCCAGGACACTGGTAATGAACCTGGGTCTCCCATGTGGGTGACAATAACCCAGGCCCTCATGGCACCACCTGCTGCCTCCCAGGGTGCACACTGGCAGGAAGCTGCATCAAGCAGTGCAGCCCAGGCATTCTGAAGTGGGCCACAGGCGTCCCAAGAGGTTTCTTGGCTGCTGTGCAGTTGCTCACCCTGAAGCTGTGGTTCTTAAATGCTGTAACTGCATCAGGATCTCCTGGTGGACTTCTTTTCTTTCTTTCTTTTCAAAGATCTATTTATGTATTTGAAAGAGTTACACAGAGAGAGAAGGAGAGGCAGAGAGAGAGAGAGAGAAAATCTTCCATCGGATGGTTCACTCTCCGGTTGGCTGCAACGTCCGGAGCTGTGCTGATCCAAAGCCAGGAGCCAGGAGCTTCCTCTGAGTCTCCTGTTCAGGTGCAGAGACCCAAGGACTTGGGCCATCTTTACTGCTTTTCTAGGCCACAGCAGAGAGCTGGATCGGAAGTAGAGCATCCAGGACTCGAACCGGCACCCATATGGGATGCTGGCACTGCAGGTGGCAGCTTTATCCACTACACCACAGCATCAGCCCCATCCTGGTGGACTTTCTAAGCCGTGGATTGCTGGGTCTCCTCCCCAGAGTTTATTGCTACTGCTGTTCCTCCTGGTCCTCCTCCTTCTCCTCCTCCATTTATTTGAAAGGCAGAGGGACAGAGAGAGGGAGAAAAAAAGCGATCTCCCTGGTTCGTTGCCCAAATGCCTACAACATGCAGGACTGGGCCAGGCCAAAGCCAGGAGCCAGCCTCCCTTCAGGGTGGCAGGCACCCAAGACCGTGGCTTGTCATCTGTCTCCAAGGTGCATTAGTAGAAAGTTGGATTGGAAGTGTGGAGTAGCCTGGACTTGAACCTGCACTCGGATAAAGGATGTGGGTGTTCCAAGCCGCTACTTGCTTAACCCACTGCGTTACAGTGCCCACTGCCCACCCCAGAGTTTCTGGCTCCGCAGGTCTGGCTTGGGGTGCGATACTTTGCGGTTGTACAAGTTCCCGAGTGATGCTCACACAGAGGGTGCAGGCACCACGCTCTGAGAGCCACTGATCTGAGAGGAGCACGCTGGCTTCCCTGGTGGTAGCTGATTTTCACCCGAAGCCTGGTGTCTTCACAACACTTGTGGGGCACCTGCTTGGTGCTTCTTTGAGCTGAGCACTCAGGTGCTGTCCGGAGGTCGTGGGCACGCATCTCGAGAGCTCCCAGTGCGAGCGGAGAGCTTTGCTTTTCTCTGCGTTTTGTTCTTCAAACGGGCATCCTTTCTTTGTGTAGGTGGCCTTGCAGCCGTCCCCGCTGTGCTGGGTTTGACAGCGGTTTTGAGTGCATGCTTTTGTGCCACTGCCGTTGGTGAACGTATGGAGCCTGTAAACAAGGCTTGATTGCAGGCTGAGAAAGCTGGTTTTGTGCATATTGCTGCAGGTGGGGGTGCCTTCCCCAGAGACCCCCACTTTGACTTACAGCAGAACAAGAATGAATTCGTTTATGCTGAAAGATGATCTGGTTGATTCTCCCTGCCACCTTTCCCTCCACTCCCATCCCCTTTTTAAAGAGCCAGAGGTTGAAGCTGTGTTTTTCCCTGCTGGTTGCTTTTATTTCCACGAAATACCTAGCTAGTATGTATGTGTTTTGCAAACGCTATTGATGACCCACACGGTTCAGCTGCAGTGATCTCAGGAAGCTTACGTATTCAGTGGTCTTCAGGTTCTGTCCCTGTGCAACCTAGATTCATTGACTGGACCTGCACTTTCCATACTAAAGTTAAATGATGCAGACTTAACATTTATGGAAGAAACCTGCGTGCATGGAGTTCTTTCTAACGCCCTCCTTCCTCTCCTTTTCCCTGAAGTCTGGAATTGGTATAAAGTGTTGTCTGAGAATGAAAATCTTTTCTGTGTTGATTTCATCGGCCTGAGACTTCGTAGGTACTTGCCCAGGACCCTTTTCCTTCTAATGATTTTCTCATTGAGCTTGAAAACCAGCTACTTGATTTAAAACTCGTGGAATCAACATTTTGTCTTAATACTGGAATCTATTCAGCTCCTTGCTGATGCACCTGGGAAGGCAGTGGACGATGGATCAAGTCGCTGGGCCCCTGCACCCACGTGGGAGACCTGGAAGGAGCTCCTGGCCCCTGGCTTCCCCTGGCCCAGCCCTGGCAATGGCCATTTGGGGAGTGAACCAGCAGATGGAAGATCTCTTTCTCCCTCTCTCCCCCTCCCTCTCCCCCCTCTCTGTAATTCTGCCCTTCAAATAAATAAACAAAATCTTAGAAAAAATATATTGACATCTATTCTTACAAGGTTAGATTCCAAAGAACAATGATTAAGAATATCAGGTGGCTGGCGCCGCGGCTCACTGAGCTAATCCTCCGCCTGTGGCGCCAGTACTCTGGGTTCTAGTCCCAGTTGGGGCGTCGGTTCTGTACCTATTGCTCCTCTTCCAGTCCAGCTCTCTGCTGTGGCCCAGGTGCAGTGGAGGATGGCCCAAGGACACCCGCATGGGAGACCAGGAGAAGCACCTGGCTCCTGGCTTCGGATCAGCGCGGTGCGCCGGCTGTGGCAGCCATTTGGGGGGTGAACCAATGGAAGGAAGACCTTTCTTTCTGTCTCTTTCAGTGTCTAACTCTGTCCAAAAAAAAAAGAAAAAAAGAAAAAAAAGAAAAAATCAGACAAGTCTAAGCAACAGACAACATCAGCCTGCTGGGTGTAGTCTAAAGTCTGGTGAATCTTCTCAAGCCCAGGAATGAATGAGGCCTTTTTTTTTTTTTTTTTTTTTTTTGGATTTATTTATCCATTTGAAGGTCAGAGTTAAGGAGTTAGCACTGTGGAACAGAAAGTTAAGCCTCTGCCTGCAGTGCCAGCATCCCATATGGGCGCTGGTTTGAGTCCCGGCTGTTCTGCTTCCCATCCAGCTCCCTGCTAATGCTCCAGGGAAAGCAGCAGAAGGTGGCCCATGTGGGAGACCCGAGGAAGCTCGGGGCTCCTGGCTTCAGCCTGGCCTGCCCCTGGATATTGCGGCCACTTGGGGAGCAATGGAAGATTCTCTCTCTCTCTCTCTCTCTCTCTCTCTCTCTCTCTCTCTCTCTCCCCCCTCCCCCCCGTATTTCTGCCTTTCAAGTAAATAAATAAGAATCTTCAAAAAAAAGAAAAAAGTTACAGAGAGAGAGGGAGAGAGGGAACTTCCATCTACTGGTCCACTTCCCAAATAGCAGCAATGAGCGTCTTCTGGATCTCCCACGTGGGTGTAGGGCCCAAGGACTTGATCCATCTTCTGCTGCTTTCCTGGGTGCATTAGCAGGGAGGTGGATCCGATGTGCAGCAGCCAGGACTCGAACTGGTGCCCACGTGGATGCTGGTGTCGCAGGCAGTGGCTTTACCTGCTACGCCACAGCGCCGGCCCTTAATGAAGTCTTGCACCTCCAGGCTCGCTCAGCGTGAGTAGCTGCTGTGATGTGATGTGCGGAGGGCCACCGTGTTTCCATGGTTGCCTCTCTCCAGTTTGGTGACCTTCCTGGCTGTTGGTTTGCACCAGGTCGAGTCCCTCTCCGTCCACCGCAGGGACACTGGTGCTGCTCCCTGGAACCTGACGTTGTCTTCTGTGAGCTGTGTCAGTGCTTTTCCTACGCTGCAGGTGACACTTCAAACAAGATGAGAGTGGGTGGTAGAGGTAGAGGTGGAAACTCCGGGAGCCACGCAGCGTTTGTCGGGTGCGGGATAGAAGGGATCAGCGTGGGGATGAGGCCCGGGGGCTGGCAGTGATTTTTCTGCATCCACCTCTATTGAACCGTTGCATGTTTGCCCAGGACCCGGTGTGTGTATAGGCCTCGGGGACATTACCCAGTGGTGATCATTTACCTTCAGCCACACCTGCAGCTTTGAGTCATTCCAGGAAGCAGGATTGATGGGGTCAGGAAGCAGAGGACGTGGTGACTGAGGATGAAGACCCCTAAGGTCCCTTCCCCTGTCTTCTCCTAATTCCTTTAAGTTATGAGCCGGGGTAAATCAGCATTAAGTTTTCTAGGCTAGAGCATGGTAGGATATACGCACTTTGGATGAATACTACAAATATTGTAGATGCTGTCGACTGAGCGCTTAACCTGCGTGGCCGTTTTGGTGCTCAGCACTTTGTCAGTTTCTCCTGCCACCCTTGCACCCCCCCAGGATGTCCCCTCTTATAGACGAGGAGAGTGAGGCTGAAAGGGCAGGACGCCGCGGTCAGAGGCCCAGCCTCGCCCGGGCTCCAGGATGGTCGATGCTGGAGCCGTGTTCTTCCAGCACTGCATGGTGCTGCAAACTGGCGTCAGGTGAGGCTGGCAGAGTCCACTTCTCAGCGTGCACCGTGTTTCGCTCCTGGTTAACGTCCGTTCTGGTCCCCGGAAGCTTCCGTATCAGGGCTCAGTGGACAGACCATTGCAGTGGGAAATGGAAGATTTGAGATGAGTGAAAATTCCAGGAAACACTTAGAAATAGCACCGATGGGCATCTAGCCTGGTGTGTGGGGAACGATTGAGCCCTCCGGGCCTCGGTCTTACCTTCTGTGAAATGTGAACAGTGAAGTCCGTGGCGCGCGGACCCTCAGACCGGCTGTGCAGATCCAGAGGTAGCCATCATGCTTTGAAAACGATGGGAGCCGTGTGAGGGGGCATGACCGTATCGGTCACACGTGTGTGTCCCTGTGCCCTGCACCGGGGGGCGGGGGGGAGTTGCAGAGCTTGGGACTGCCAGCAGGCACTGCAAGTGCATGGAGAGTTAGCAAGCAGCTGTTACTGTGGGAGCACAGGGCAGGGGAAGATGCCCAGGGAAGGCCTTAGAAAGCGCATAGCACAGGGAATTAATTAGATGTTAGTGATGTGGCATTCAGGTAGAGCAAGAGTAGCCCTGATGTGTGGGCATTTGGGAAATGAACCAGCAAATGCAGTCTCCACGCTTGATCTTAGCCAAAAGGCCGAGAAGGGATAGCAAATGGAATCTCTCCCTCCCTCCCTCCCTCCCTCCCTCCCTCTCTTTCTCTCTCTCTCTCTCTGTCTGCCTTTCAAATAAAATAAAAATAATTTAAAAAAGAAAAACCAACTAGGTAAGAACTTAGAGTACCACAGCATGAAGTGCTTTCTTCCCCAGAAGTTGCCTGTATTTTATGTATTTATTTTACTTATTTGAAAGGCAGAACAATAGAGAGAGAGAGAGAGAGAAAGGGGGAGAGAGATCTTCCATCTGCTGGTTTACTCCCCAGGTGCCCACCCACAACTAGGGCTCTGCCAGGCTGAAGCCGGGGCCTAGAACTCAATCTGGGTCTCATGCCTGGGTAGGCAGAGAGCCAAGTACTGAACCATCATCTGCTGCTGCCCAGGGTGTGGAGCAGAGCTAAGACTCGATCCCAGGCGCTCTGAGAAGGGATGCAGCTGAACCCACGGCACCACAGTGCACACCCCTGGGCTCCCACACGCTTTTTTTTTTTTTTTTAAGCATATTTATTTATTTGAAAGTCAGAGTTACACAGAGAGAGGAGAGGCAGAGAGAGTGAGGTCTTCCATCTGTTGGGTCACTCCCCAATTGGCCGCAACAGCCGGAGCTGCGCCAATCCGAAGCCAGGAGCTTCTTCCAGGTCTCCCATGTGGGTGCAGGGGCCCAAGGACTTGGGCCATCTTCTGCTGCTTTCCCAGGCCACAGCAGAGAGCTGGATTGGAAGAGGAGCAGCCAGGTCTCAAACTGGCACCCATATGGGATGCCTGCAGTTCAGGTCAGGGCGTTAACCCGTTGTGCCACAATGCCAGCCCCCCCCTCCCCCCCGCCTTTTTAAAAAAGAATTACACTGGGGCGGGTGCTGTGGCACAGTAGGCTAAGCCTCTGTTTGCAGTGCCAGCATCCCAAATGGTTTGTGTCCCAGCTGCTCCTCCTCCGATCCTGCTCTCTGCTTATGGCCTGGGATAGCAGTGAAAGGTGGCCAACTGCTTGGGCCCCTGCACCCTCATAGGAGACCCGGAGGAAGCTCCTGGCTGCTGGCTTCAGCTCAGTCCATCTGCAGCAGTTGCGGCCAATCAGGGAGTGAACCACGGGATGGAAGAGTTCTCTCTGTATTTCTGTCTCTCTCTGACTATAACTCTACCTCTCAAATAAATAAAATATTTTTTTTTAAAAAAAGAATTACGCAGGGATTGTTGTGAGACGCGGAGCTCTTATGTGGAGGAGGGGGTTTCTCCACTCTGAAGGTGGAAGTGGGGGCGGGAGGCGTTTCCAGCCTGTGTGGTCTTCCCCCAGCTTCCTTGGCCCGTGTCCGGAGGAGGGAACCTCACCTGAGACGTGCAGGCAGGCAGCGCCGTTCGTCTTGGGTTGGTTAGCAGCCTCTTTCTGCCTCCTTTATGGAACAGCCAAGAGCACTAACTAATTCAGGGTTTAAGAAAAGATTACAAGTTCTGAGGATTAAAAACGGCGCTGGTGGTTAGCAGTCCTCCGCCGAAGTGAAAAGAGCTGTCACCTTGCTTTGGGAAACAGTGACCGCCCGGCCGGTCCCAGCGCGTCTCTCTCCCGTTCCAGCGATGACGCTGATAAAATGATTCCTGACCGTGGCGGGCCTTGGAGCTCTGTGTCTAGAGACAGAGGACAGAGAACCCATTGTCCAGAGGTCTCCGGAGCGCCCTAGCAAGCACACAGAAAGGATTTAGAACAATTTGCATAAATCCCCCCCATGGCAACGTGGTTTTGGGGTGGTTCCAGGAAGCCCTCCCTGGCTGGATCGCGGGGTGACGCGGTGCCTGGTGAGCCTGCCGTCTCTGGACGGCTTCTGCCAGCAGGACTGGGTGATGGGACGCTGAATAAGCCCACTGTTTGGTTTCACATAAGGGCCCTTTTGTGTCCGCCTGGGGCAGCCTTGTTGAAGTTGGTCTTGCTTTGCTCCCCAGTGATGTTTTTGGATTTTGTGGCCTGGAGAATTAAGCACACCACCTATTCTGAGCTAATCTGTCAAACTTTGCTCTTGGAAGGTTTCTAGAACATGGAGGGTAATAGTCATACTTCTGGAGACTTCTGGTTCATTAAATTAAAAAGCCGGGCCAGGTGCTGGGCGGGCGCTTGTTCGTGGTGGGAAGCCACGCTCTCTGCACAGTCAGTGCCTCATCGCCACTTCCTTGGGAAACACTTCCTCTCGCCTCGCACAGTTCACAGCAAGCTGTTCTTTGTTGTTTAATATTTCCCTGTGAACGGCATGGCTTACCCTGGAGTGTCCTTTAAAAGTGCTGTGCATTGTACAAACATGTTTCAACTTTTCTTTCTTAAAATATGACATACATGAAACAACCTACCAAGCGCTTTACTGGTTCCTCGTATAGAATGTGATCCTTCTAGAAGCCACATAAGGAGTCTCATTTAAAATCTGGGAGCAGCTTGGTGCTTTAGTACAGAAATGAAATTCAGTGATTTCTAAGCCGGAGCCTGTTCTCCTTCAGTCTGCTAGCTTGATTTCTCAGCTTTGTTCCAGTAGTGTAAACATTTTTATGTTTATTTATAGGTGGCTTTAACCAAGAGAGCAGATCCAGCCGAGCTCAGAACAATATTTTTGAAGGTCAGTATCAAGGACTCTGTTTTGTTTCTTGTTCAATTTGTGTTCTGTGACTCTTAAAGTTTATTTCCAAACAGCTCTTCATTTTACTGTTAACTTTTTTTTAAACTTCTTTCAAAAGAAATCGTTTTCAGTGCTGCTGCTTGTTTGAAAAAGTAGGGACCTTGTAGACGGGAGCTTGTGGTGGCAGCGTGGTGTAAGTTTGAATCCCCTGTCTCACGTGCTGTCAGCCATCGCTAAGGAGCTGCCGCGGGCTGTGGTCCTGCCACCCATCGGCGTCTCCAGGATTAGCCTGTGTGGCTTCGTGGCCATGCTTTTCCTCCTGGGAAGCTGGAAGCTCTTTGTCAGCATCTCAGTCACCTTCCCTCCGACCAGGCTGCCCTGTCTCTCCTGGGCTGAAGAAGCTCACCGTTGTCATCACCAGCACTACCACCATCACCATCACCAACACCATCACCATCACCATCGTCCTCACCATCGCCATCACCATCGTCCTCACCATCGCCATCACCATCGTCCTCACCATCGCCATCACCATCGTCCTCACCATCATCCTCACCATTGCCATTGCCATTGCCATCGCCATTGCCATCGCCATCGCCATCACCATCACCATCGTGCATGTATTAACCCCGCGGTGCCCTGTGAGGGGGCCTCGGTGTGATGTGTGGTGGGCCCGGGGCAGGCCAGGGCCACGCTCACTTGTTCCCCTGCTTTCTTACTCTCTATCAGCTTTGTGAGACTGAGCAGCGAGCAATTACTACGGTGCCAGTCGTCCTCGGGCCCCAGACGCTGACGCACTTTGATGCTGTTCTAAAATTAAAGTTCTCAAAAAAGAAACGGCCGTTTTGGTAAAGATCATAGAAGCCAAACGTGGGATTTTTTTAAAAACCTCGTGGAAGGGAGGCTGTGCTGTGTGGAAAGAGGACCAAAGCGTTCCTGGCAGGCTGGCCGGGGGCAGGTCTGGGGTGGAAGGAGATTAATTCTCGGAGCCTCACTTTCTGCATCTGTGTGTGCGACTGTGACTGTTTAAAAACAACAGCAAGCGGCCGGTGCTGTGGTTCAGTGGGTGGAAGCCCTGGCCTGCAGCATCGGCATCCCATACGGGCACCGCTTCGATCCTGGCTCCTTCACTTCTGATCCAGTTCTCTGCTATGGCCTGGGAAAGCAGTAGAAGATGACCCAAGTCCCTGGGCCCCTGTTACCCAGATAGAAGACCTGGAAGAAGCTCCTGGCTCCTGGCTTTGGATCAGCTCAGCTCTAGCCAGACATTTGGGGAGTGAACCAGTGGATGGAAGACCTCTCTCTCTTTCCATATCTCTAACTCTCTCTGTAAATATGTCTTCCAAATAATTAAAATAAATATTAAAACAAAAACAAAAACAGCATGGCTGGTGTTGCAATGCAGTGGGTTAAGCTGCTGCTGGCATCCCATAGTACTGGTTTGAGTCCCAGATCCTCAACCTCTGATTCAGCTCCCTGCTAATGTGGAAGATGGTTTAAGTGGTTGGGCCCCTGCCATCCACATGGGGGACTCAGATGGAGTTGCAGACTCTTGGCTTCAGCCTGGCCCAGCCCTGGCTGTTGCAGGCATTTGAGGAGTGAACCAGTGGATGAAAGATCTCTCTATCACTCTGCCTCTCCCTCTATCACTGTGCCTTTCAAATAAACAGAATAAATCTGTTATTAAAAAAGCTGAGCCATTGGGGAATTTGAGTACTGATGGAATAGTTGATATTAAGAAATTTTTAGTTTAGTTTTTAGGCTGGGTAATGCTAGTCTGATTATGTGAAATACTCTGTCTTTTAGAGATACAACATTGAAGCATTTACAGGTAAGAATGTGATGCCTTGAGATCTGCTGTTGAATAATGCAGTTTTGAAAGGTCTCTTCAAAACCGGACAAGATCGCTTCATACCGTGCAGCTTCAGGGGTGTCTTCTGAATTTATTCTGCTGCAGCGTGTGCCTGAGTGGAGGCAGCTGCTTTCACCAGCAGAAAAAGCAGAGGCTTGTGGAAGCCTTGGTGCTGTGTACTGCCTGCGGTACTCATGGGCTTAGACCAGGCGCTGCCACTTGTGTTCATATACATTATATATAAGTATGTATCTATATATCATATCTATGAATTATTTTAAAAATCCCATTTGGTGGGATGGGGAAAATGAGTGGGCACTAGGATGATAGCTTTTGAAATTGGAAAGTGGAATGTTGGGTTTATTATCTGTACTTTTTTTTTTTTTTTTTTTTGACAGAGTGGACAGTGAGAGAGAGAGAGAGAGAGAGAGAAAGGTCTTCCTTTGCCGTTGGTTCACCCTCCAATGGCCGCCGCGGACAGAGCACTGCGGCCGGCGCACCGTGCTGATCCGATGGCAGGAGCCAGGTGCTTCTCCTGGTCTCCCATGGGGTGCAGGGCCCAAGCACCTGGGCCATCCTCCACTGCACTCCCTGGCCACAGCAGAGAGCTGGCCTGGAAGAGGGGCAACCGGGACAGAATCCGGCGCCCCGACCGGGACTAGAACCCGGTGTGCCGGCGCCGCAGGCGGAGGATTAGCCTAGTGAGCCGTGGCACCGGCCTCTGTACTTTCTACTTTGTGTACCTCTGAATGTTTTCATAACAAAGTCACAGGAAGATGGAATGAGAACTCGTGTGCAAGGGTCCGGTACCTGGCATGCAATCGATACTGATGCAGTGTGTGCTGGAAATTAAATAATTCAAGCACTGAGGGGATGAAAATTCAATAAGGGAACAGTTAAGAGTAGGAGCAGCTTCTGGGGGAGGAAAATATGATCCATGTATTACCAGGCTTGGGTTATACTTTGGAAAAGCAGAGTTCGTGATAAATTTGCTTTTCACCCAGAAGAGATACGGCAGAGAGGTTCCGGGTGGGAAGGGGTCTGGGTGATGGAAGTTCAGAAAACAGAAGAGGGTTTGCTTCCCACCTAAGCTGACGCTTGCACGTTGGGCGAGGTGTACGAGGGGCTCCTGAAGTCCCTGGTGCATGCGGTCAGGATCCCTCCAAAACGTGCAGCTTCGGGGCGTCTTCTGAGCAGGACACCCCGGCACCTGGGCAGGCCGCCAGGGAGCCCAGAGGAAGGGACGGAGGCTCATTACCTCGAGCCGGTGACGTCAGCAGTGTCCTCCCAGCTGGCCATGTTGCTTCGGTTTCCTAAACAGGAGCTTTGAGCAACTCTGCCAGGAAGTGGGCGAGCTCGGAGGTGTCTGAGACAGTGCAGCCCTGGCTCTCCCGTGGCTGTCGGCGAGGTCTTCTGGAAAAGGTCCAGGCAGAGGCCGTGGCCGCCTTTTGAGGCCACATGGCTGCTGGTGAGGCCAGGAGATCTTGGCTCGGGAGGAGGTGTCACGGCCAGCTGCTATGTCCGCTCAGTAGCAGGGGAGTCCGTCCAGGGCAGGGCTGCATGGCTGCCCGTTAGGTCCTGTGCTGTGGACGCGAAGGCTGGGGGTGCAGTCCTTGGCTCCAGGTGGGAAAGCAGTCTCTTTCCTGGGGTCCTTGGGCGAGGGTCCCCCTGACTTGGAGGCCCAGGAGGTGACGTGGGGGCTGGGATGCATGGCCACCCCCGAAGGAGGCATTGATCAGGCGTTTGGGGAAGGGGGTGTGGCTCTGGCCGAGGGTCTGGTGCCCTCGGCAGGCCTGGGCTGTGTGAGACCAACACGAATCACTTGACTCAGCGCTGAGGATCTCACTTTCGTGTCCACCCCGTGGCCTTGCAGACCAGGGGCGAAGGGGGCTGCTGCGCCCTGGGGGCTGCCAGGCTGGGCTTTTTAGCGAAGTATGGATCAGCAGTACTGTCCTCTGTGTCGGTTTTCTGCGACTTTTCCCTGATTTGATTTTCTTCCTAATAAAAGTCGTGTGTGAGACAGCCCGGTCACCTGCCTGTTAAGATGAGGAGAGGATTCTTGTGTTGCTTGGGGTGTGGGGGGTGGGGCCTGCTGGTAGTCAGGGCCTTGGCAGCCCTGGGGATTGGGCGCTGGTGCACCCGAGCCAGATAAGGAGACCCAAGTGGGCTTTGTTCTGGCTTTTCAGCCTGTGTGTTTGAGGAGAGTTCTGCTAAATTCCACTTTTATTTTTTCAGTTGCCTGCTGTATGTGAGGTACAGTGTTGGGAGACGGGCGTAAGTCAGGGCTGCTGCCGTGGTGGGCCTCGCTGTGTCTGTGTATGGCGAGATAGAAGGCCATGGAGTGGTTGGCCCAGTGTC